GTCACACATGGTGCAGCAGGTCCTTCAGCGCTTCGGCTTCACGTACTCCTCGCCTCAGCCCACTCCTCTGTCTACCGGTCACTCGCTCTCAGCTCTGCCTTCGGATGAGTCCGTAGAGCCGAGTGGCCCGTATCCAGAGCTTGTGGGCTGCCTCATGTACCTGATGACCTGTACTAGACCTGACCTTGCATACCCTCTTAGCATCCTAGCACGCTATGTCGCTCCTGGCCGTCACCGGAAGGAGCACATGGATGCCGCTAAGAGGGTGTTGCGTTACCTGTGCAGTACGTCGGGCATGGGGCTTGTGCTTGGAGGACGGCGCGACGTTGTCCTCACTGGACACTCAGACGCTTCTTGGGCTGACGACCAGGCTACGCAGCGGTCGTCTCAGGGTTACACCTTCAGCCTTCCTGGCGTTCTACACGCTCTTCTTCTGTTCTCAGCTCCAGTTGTGAGGCTGAGATCTACGCCACAGCCATGGCGGCCCAGGAGCTACGCTGGCTCACCTACCTGCTGACCGACCTTGGAGAGCGGCCTCGTTCTCCTCCAGTGCTGTACGTCGACAACAAGGCAGCCATTGCCTTGTGTGAGGAGCACAGACTGGAGCACAGAACGAAGCACATCGCTCTGCGCTACTTCCTAGCGCGAGAGCTGCAGCAGAGGGGTCAGCTTCGTCTCTCGTACGTGGCCACTCGGGCCAACACTGCTGATGTGTTCACCAAGGCGCTTCAGCCTTGTGAGCATCAGCGTTTCTGTACTGTTCTAGTCCTTGTCCCTACTCTCCCTCACTTGCTCACTTCTTGACTCTGCTTGTACTATGATCTCTATATATATACCTGCATGCTTACACTTGCTAGGTTGTGATCACTGTACCTCTTGTTCTATTATCAAACTGCATGTGAACTGGTCTTGTGACCATTTGCTTGTGCTCGGAATTTGTGTGGTATCCTTGAGATCCACCCTGAGCTTGTCTTGCTTTGTTTTGCTTTGACTGGTCTTGTGACCACTTGCTCTCCCCCACTTAGCCTATGGGGGTGTGTCAAAAATTATATATGTTGTATTTGTGTAGGCTACAGTGGGTTAGCCTTTAGGGGGTACACAATTCTAGGGTTAGGTACTTGTACTCCCTTTCCTTTCTAGTCCAACACTTCTTCTTTCTCACAGGTGGATTTCTTGGAGACCCACTTCCACTACGACATCATCTACAAGCCCGGGCTACACAACAAAGCAGACGCGTTGAGCCGCCCAGGTCATGTAGCAGGCATCCAACTCGACGGGATGAACCCTCTGCTCAAAGGTCTATTCCAACATGGGTACTCCGTGGACGGCGAGATAGCAACGGCAGAGAAACAGAAACTGTTACAGTGGGAGAAAGACCTAGCGGTAAGGAAGGGTTCAGGAAAGATTTGGGTACCGAATTACGCCCCGCTACGGCAGATCCTATTGGAGGAGTTCCACGACGTACCATACGCGGGACATTTCGGGAGCAACAAGACGTTAGCGGGAATAGCGAAGTATTACTACTGGCCCCGGATGGCAGCAGATGTACAGCAGTTCGTCACCTCCTGCGACACGTGCCAGCGGATGAAGAGCAGCAAGCAGAAGAAAGCAGGGTTACTTCAGCCTCTACCCGTACCGGAGCAGCCATGACAGGTCGTTAGTCTCGACTTCATCACAGGACTTCCCTCGACCTCACGGGGACATGATTCCATCCTCGTAGTCATCGATAAGTTCTCCAAAATGGGGCACTTCCTACCGACCAACGCCACCGCCACAGCAGAAGCAACTGCTCGCCTCTTCTTCGACCGCATCATCACCATCCACGGCATCCCCGCTACACTCATCTCAGACAGAGACCCAAAATTCACCAGTAAGTTTTGGAAGGAGCTCATGGGATTATTGGGGACTAAACTTGCGATGTCCTCAGCATACCACCCACAGACTGACGGACAGACAGAGCGACTCAATCAAGTGGTTGAACAGTTACTGCGCACAGCTTGCAAAGACGACGTCAGCCTCTGGGACACACAGTTACCGACCCTAGAGTTCGCTTACAACAACGCGTCACATGCGGCCACAGGGAAAACTCCTTTCTTCCTGTGTTACGGACGGGAACCACTCATACCACAGCAGCCAACCACGCCAGCACACGTCCAAGCCGCACACGACTTCGTCACCACTATGCAGCAGCTATGGGAGAAGACTCAGCGACGACTCACCACGATGCAGACCTCCCAGAAGCAGTATGCCGATCGTCAGCGACGTGATCACTCAGTAGCAGTCGGAGATCAGGTGCTTCTTGACACGCGCAACTTGAACCTGTCTCACCTCCCATCCAAACTCCGGCCTCGCTTCTGTGGTCCTTTTCTCGTTGAGGCACAGGTGACACCAGTTACGTTCTGCTTGCGCTTACCAGATATGTGGAAGCTTCACAATGCTTTCCATGTGCAGCTACTGAAACCCTACAAGGACCCCAACCAACAGTTCCAGGGACGGCAGCTACCGCCACCTCCACCTGTTCTTGTGCAGGACGAAACCGAGTACGAGATTGAGCGCGTCCTCTCTCATCGGCGCCGCGGCGGCAGGACCCTCGAGTTCCTGATACGATGGAAGGGATACGACCCCACTGAGGAAAGTTGGGTTGCAGAAGCTGATATGGGCAACGCACGCCGTGCTCTCAAGGACTATCTTGTCAAGCAGGGTGTATCTCACGCCACCCAGCTTTGAGGGGGGGACGTGTGAGAGTACGACGGCTTATGCCAGCTATGCTTGCTTGCCTTTACTTTATTATGCTATTTCTAGCATAGGAAAACTATATGCATGCATGAATTGCTTGATTTCCTAGGCTAGGTGCTTTCCTATATTTTATTATAGTTATAGCACCGAGCTAGGTTGCGTGCACCGAATTCTGGCTTTTCGGTTGCCACCGAATTGCCTTCTACCGAATTCGGGAAGGATCTGTTCGGGACGCTTCGCGACCCGCGGAACCTTCGCGTAACACCTGGTTACGGGGCCTTGTGTCGAGCCTATATATAGCCTCGTGTTGTACCCAGGTGATCATTCATTTCACATTCTCTTTTCTGAGCTCGATCCTAGATCCTCACAAGAACGGCTTCGCGAACAGGACGAAACACATCGCCTTGCGATACTTCTTCGTGAAGGACGAGATCGAGAAGGGGAAACTCGAACTATCATACTGCCCCACGTCCGAAATGGCAGCTGACTACTTGACCAAGAAACTTGGAAAGCAGAAGTTCGACTACTGCATGCTGCTGACTGGACAGAGCCACATCACCAACAGCGACACTCCAGAAGCGAAGGGGAGTGTTGGAAGCAATTAACTCTAAGCGCCTCTGTCGTGTCGAAACTCCAAGACACAAGCGAAGCAAAGCACTATCGAAGCACCAGCGAGTCAACCCTCGGAGGTTGAAGTAACTGTCGGAGGTTATGCGAAAGTCAAAGGTCAGCGACCTTTGACCTGACAAGTACAGCACGACAGCAAGGACACACAACTGACTCGTTACAGAGCAGTTGCCCGAGTCGTCACTGTATCGAACCGCAACAGCAACAGTAAAGTAGTTATAACTGTGTCTTTTCATATTCCCTGTATTCATATATAATCTTGTATCTCTTTGTTTTAATCAACTTTGCCCTCACATACTAGCGCAAGGTGGTTCACAACTCTTCATTAAACGCTTCCGCTACTACATCAGTTATACCCAGAGTTCACCCCTGCAAAAGATCCTAAGGGCTATTTTCTCGGCCCAACAGGGACTACCTAGAACCCTGATTAGAAAGGGTGGCCCAAAACCAATCGAGAGCCCTGCTTGCTACCGGTACTTGTAACACGTAGTCACCAACATAGAATACCGATCCGTGTGTTCAGAAATTCCATATATCTTCACACTGACAAGGAGGAAATGGAAGGGTCTGGCTGGTGAGAAAGTAGTTTCCAGAACGGCGAGTACAAAATAATTCTCATTTGTCCCTGAACCAAGTACGGTACCACACCAGGAAAAAACTTACAATCACGCAAATCCAGTAAAGCATGCAGTGGTATTGCATGGGGCAAATGGAAATGTGTTTGGTGCTATCATGGATTCAGTGGTGAGAACAAAGGGCTTATGGTAGGGCCCGTGCTTGAAATCAACTTCAATAAACAGTGCTCGATACCCCACCTGTGCACAGGAGCGCGGGGGAGAGAACAGACGAAAAATGGTGAAATAAGGTTACCGGTATGAACGTGGTGATAAGATGGTTGAACACATCGAAGAAGCATCCAATTGGTGCGGTGCTGACAATGGAAAATGCGCCTCGGACTGGGGAGGCATTTGAAATGGTAAACAGAAAAGTAGAGCATCAAATGTTGGTAACTTAGGGGAACCAGCTTGAAAGACCACTACAGCTGGGAAAGCCATTACAGCTGGGAAAGCCACTACAGCTGGGAAAGCAACTACAGCTGGGAAAGCAACTACAGCTGGGAAAGCAACTACAGCTGGGAAAGCAACTACAGCTGGGAAAGCCACTGCAGCTGGGAAAGCCACTGCAGCTGGGAAAGCAACTACAGCTGGGAAAGCCACTACAGCTGGGAAAGCAACTACAGCTGGGAAAGCCACTACAGCTGGGAAAGCCACTACAGCCGGGAAAGACACTACAGCTGGGAAAGCCACTACAGCTGGGAAAGCCACTACGGCTGGGAAAGCCACTGCAGCTGGGAAAGCCACTACGACTGGGAAAGCCAGCGAAAGTGCAACGCAGTCACTGCTGAAGCACAACATCACATGCTGCTCCTCCTTTATAGGAACATTCCTTGTCCAGTCACAGTTGACTCAAAAAAGGAGATTCCCCATAAGAGGAGTACCACATCTCAATACTTGTTTGAACTTTGCCACACTTAATGAAATAATTCATTCAACAGTTCAACAATGATACACTTCAGAACACTTCATTATGACAAGTCACCACACTCAGTTCAACCACGCTTCATCCCACACACGCACCTTGGGAATGTCTTTGACCGACGAGCTGAAGTGCCAGAGCCCGTCAGGCTGCAGTGCGGGCGGCGAGACGGCGTGCAGGAGGAACGGGATGGGCTGCACACAGAGGGTGCCGAACTTGGCAATGTAGACATCCGAGCTCTTGAAGGGCACCATGCTGCCGAGGACAAGGGCACCGGGGTGGAGGGACAGCAAGCAGAGTCACAACAATGAGGGCCCTGCACTCACCACCGTACCACCTCCCCTCCCTGCACTCACCACCCTACCACCTCCCCTCCCTGCACTCACCACCCTACCACCTCCCCTCCCTGCACTCACCACCCTACCACCTCCCCTCCCTGCACTCACCACCCTACCACCTCCCCTCCCTGCACTCACCACCCTACCACCTCCCCTCCCTGCACTCACCACCCTACCACCTCCCCTCCCTGCACTCACCACCCTACCACCTTCCCCTGCACTCACCACCCTACCACCTTCCCCTGCACTCACCACCCAGCCACCTCCCTTCCCCTGCATGGCACTCACCACCCGGCGAGCCCTTGCTTCACGATGAGCCGGAAGTCCCGCCGCTTGCTGCCCGGCCTCGTGCGCCCAGTCCTGCATCCGGGGAGAGAGAGGCATGGAAAGGCGAAGTTGGGGTGGGGTAAATCGCGGGGGAGGGGAAGAGGAAGGGGGGGAGGGAGGAAGGAATGATATGGTGTGACTCACAGCAATGCAAGAGCCAGCTAGGGGGGTGAGAGCACGAGTTGCAGCGCAGAGGCGGTTCCTTACATCACTCTCATCAAGCCACCAGCCCCTTTTTCCACGCATCCCGTCACTCCTTGTTCTATGCAGCCCCTTGCATTACTGCGAGCCAGAAGCATTGGCGAGCAGACTAGAGAAGGCCGGGGCCTGTGGAACAATTGACGTGCCTTGCAGTCAAGCCAGCATCCCTATCTTTCCCCAACCTGCAGGCAAGTGCTTTGGAGATTCCAGAAACGTCACTTGAAACGCATTCAGTCAACTCTCCTTGATCTCTGACAGCCCTGCACCTTCCATTCCCACCACCGCTTCTTTGCACCCCTCCACGTATCCATTCCCCCCCTATCCCCCCTCCCCATCCCCATCCTCCATCACCCTACCCATCCCCCTCCCCCTCCCCCTCACCATGCTCTAACCGCCAACGGCTTCCTGTCTGACGTGGCATGGATGGTGAACGTGGACCAATCAAACCGCCACCTCAGCTGAGGCCAGTCGACAGCTGGCATCTCTGGTACACAGCCCCAAGGGGGGGACTGCACTGCTGCCACTGCTGCTGCCTCTGCGTCTGGGAGACTGGAAGGCTGAGAGCTGTGAGGGTTGTGGGGGGTTTGAGGGGAAGGGGAGTCTGACGAGATGGAGGTGGTGTGGGGAGTGAGGGAGGAGGGGGTGGGGTTGGTGGGGCGCGTCCAGGTGAGGGAGGGGCGGGAGGAGGCGGGGCGAGAGGCGCAGGAGGAGTTGACGTGCAGGAGAGAGGTGAGGAAGGAGCCGGTCGCATCGTAGACCTGAAAGGTTGGGTGGTAGGAGACAGGGAAATCAGAGAAGGGGAGGGGGGTGTCAAAGGGGAGGGGGGTGTCAACGGGGAGGGGGTGTCAACGGGGAGGGGTTGTAGAAGGCAAGGGGATAAGCGAGGGGGTTGAGGTGGGAGGCGACAGGAGAATAGGGGTGAGAAGAAAAAGGAGAGGGAGGCACCCTAAGTCTGCAGTATGAGGGGGACTGGGGGTGAGGGTGGGGGGAGGATGAGGGGGGATTTCAAAAGAGAGGGGACAAAAGGAGGGGACAGGGACGGCCTCATCAGAACCAGGAAGAGGGTGAGGCAGAAGGGGGTGAGGGAGGGGAAAACCATGGGCGCAGGAAGAACAGAAAAAGCATGGGTGGAGATTTGCGGAGTATGCAACGAGCCAATGAGCAGTGCCAGCAGCAGCTAATGGCAGCAGAGGAGAGGCAGGCTGTGTCCTTTCAGATGTCCGACTGACCACAGGCAGAAAGAAGGGCGGCGAGGGTGAGAAGGAAGGGCGGCGAGGGTGAGAAGGAAGGGTGGCGAGGGTGAGAAGGAAGGGCGGCGAGGGTGAGAAGGAAGGGCGGCGAGGGTGAGAAGGAAGGGCGGCGAGGTTGAGAAGGAAGGGCGGCGAGGCTGAGGCGAAAGGACGGCGAGGGTGAGATGGAGTTAGCGGCGATGATGGGTGGGGAATGGAGAAAAACGACCACGAATGAAGGCGAGAATGGCGTAGGAGTAAAGGGGGAGGGAGAGGGATTGGGGGAGCGAAGAGGAAAAACGGAGGACCATTCCTACTGCAACACCTGAACGAGTTCTCTGAGAAGTCCAAATTTCGAGTTCTATTGCTGTGAGAGAGAAGAGCATTGAAGGGTAAGGCTGTACCCAGTGGGAGAGAAGAAGGATGGAGGGCAAGGCGAGGCGGTACGTACCCAGTAGGACTTCTGAATGACCATGTGGTCCAGGTTGGCCACGATCTTGAACAGCGTGGGCGGTGGCAGGTCGTTGAAATAGAAGTACCTGCCAGGGCCGGGCGCACCCACGAGGGGATCGGGAAGGCATATATACATGTGTGTACATACTTACAGTCATCTTCTGCGGAGAGTACTCGTATTAGCGAGAGGATGCGAGGAGGCTGAAACACACACACTATGTAACACACATGTGTTAAAACACTAAGAAACAAAGCAGCAAGCAGCTGCTACCATTTAGCCTGGGGACGTGCACAAGTGCCGTGACATTGGGCACTCACGAGTCGTCCATGGGGCAGCAAGCAGCGACTCACGAGTCATCCATGAAGAAGAATTCGTCATTGGAGGCGGAGATGAGCAGCTTGGGCATGGTCAGGCGCTCCCTGAAGAAGTACGGGTCCGTGTAGCTCTGTGGGGGGGGGGGGGGAGGGGGGCGTTAAAGTGGGAGGGGGGTGGTTGGAGGGGTTGGGGGAGGTTGGTTTAAAAAGCTCGTTCAGGCTCTTGGAAATGAGCAGCTTAGGCATGGTGGGGCGCCTCCTGAAGAAGCACGTAGCTCTGTTGAGGGGGTGGGGACAAGGGGGAACGGAGGGGGCTATTTTCGGGGAAAGAGCAGTTAGCCAAGGTAGCTGCAAGTGCCCTGCCTGCGGCATGATTGCCCTGCGGCATGAGTGCCCTGCGGCATGAGTGCCCTGCGACAGCTTGCCAGCCAGAGCCACGTGTTATCTGTCAGGCAGGTACGGAGTTAAGGCAAAGGGCTTTGAGAAATCTCATACGCATGCTCCCTGTGCTCTATCTACTGTCTCCTCCTGCCCGCCACCGGCTGACTGCAGAGCTGCCCCTTCGTGGCTTTAACTGATGTTCGCATTCCAGGCAGTCATGACATCACTCAGTCTATGCATCGCACACAGTCATGACATCACTCAGTCTATGCATCGCACACAGTCATGACATCACTCAGTCTATGCATCACACACAGTCATGACATCACTCAGTCTATGCATCGCACACAGTCATGACATCACTCAGTCTATGCATCGCACACAGTCATGACATCACTCAGTCTATGCATCGCACACAGTCATGACATCACTCAGTCTATGCATCGCACACAGTCATGACATCACTCAGTCTATGCATCGCACACAGTCATGACATCACTCAGCCTATGCATCACACACAGTCATGACATCACTCAGTCTATGCATTGCACACAGTCATGACATCACTCAGTCTATGCATCGCACACAGTCATGACATCCCTCAGTCTATGCATCGCACACAGTCATGACATCACTCAGTCTATGCATCGCACACAGTCATGACATCACTCAGTCTATGCATCGCACACAGTCATGACATCACTCAGTCTATGCATCGCACACAGTCATGACATCACTCAGTCTATGCATCGCACACAGTCATGACATCACTCAGTCTATGCATCGCACACAGTCATGACATCACTCAGTCTATGCATCACACACAGTCATGACATCACTCAGTCTATGCATCGCACCCAGTCATGACATCACTCAGTCTATGCATCGCACACAGTCATGACATCACTCAGTCTATGCATCGCACACAGTCATGACATCACTCAGTCTATGCATCGCACACAGTCATGACATCACTCAGTCTATGCATCGCACACAGTCATGACATCACTCAGCCTATGCATCACACACAGTCATGACATCACTCAGTCTATGCATTGCACACAGTCATGACATCACTCAGTCTATGCATCGCACACAGTCATGACATCCCTCAGTCTATGCATCGCACACAGTCATGACATCACTCAGTCTATGCATCGCACACAGTCATGACATCACTCAGTCTATGCATCGCACACAGTCATGACATCACTCAGTCTATGCATCGCACACAGTCATGACATCACTCAGTCTATGCATCGCACACAGTCATGACATCACTCAGTCTATGCATCGCACACAGTCATGACATCACTCAGCCTATGCATCGCACACAGTCATGACATCACTCAGTCTATGCATCGCACACAGTCATGACATCACTCAGTCTATGCATCGCACACAGTCATGACATCACTCAGTCTATGCATCGCACACAGTCATGACATCACTCAGTCTATGTATCGCACACAGTCATGACATCACTCAGTCTATGCATCGCACACAGTCATGACATCACTCAGTCTATGCATCGCACACAGTCATGACATCACTCAGTCTATGTATCGCACACAGTCATGACATCACTCAGTCTATGCATCGCACACAGTCATGACATCACTCAGTCTATGCATCGCACACAGTCATGACATCACTCAGTCTATGTATCGCACACAGTCATGACATCACTCAGTCTATGCATCGCACACAGTCATGACATCACTCAGTCTATGTATCGCACACAGTCATGACATCACTCAGTCTATGCATCGCACACAGTCATGACATAACTCAGCCTATGCATCGCACACAGTCATGACATCACTCAGTCTATGCATCGCACACAGTCATGACATCACTCAGTCTATGCATCGCACACAGTCATGACATCACTCAGTCTATGCATCGCACACAGTCATGACATCACTCAGTCTATGCATCGCACACAGTCATGACATCACTCAGTCTATGCATCGCACACAGTCATGACATCACTCAGTCTATGTATCGCACACAGTCATGACATCACTCAGTCTATGTATCGCACACAGTTGACATCACTCAGTCTATGTATCGCACACAGTCATGACATCACTCAGTCTATGTATCGCACACAGTCATGACATCACTCAGTCTATGTATCGCACAGTCATGACATCACACTGCTGCCCTGTAATGGTGCCACTTCAAGCCCCTCAAGCACTTTCCAACTGGAGTTCAAACCTCTTCCCCTTCCTCCCTCCCTCTTCCTCCCTCCCTCCCTCTTCCTCCCTCCCTCGTCCTCCCTCCCTCGTCCTCCCTCCCTCTTCCCCCCCCCCTCCCTCCCGCCATTACTTTCCTCCTCCCTCCCTCTTCCTCCCTCCCTCCCTCTTCCTCCCTCCCTCGTCCTCCCTCCCTCGTCCTCCCTCCCTCTTCCCCCCCCCCTCCCTCCCGCCATTACTCTCCTCCTCCCGCCCACTCTAGACCTGGACCCAACCCAAACCCTAAGCCAAAACCCCAAACCTCAGGCGTACCAGAAGGGGGGGCAGCAGGGGCGAGTGCAGGAAGTGCGTGAGGTTGTAGTCCACATAGAAGCGCACCAGGATGGGCACGGCGCCCACCGAGTCGAGCAGATGCTGCAGGTTGGGCTGGAGGTTGATGAGATCATAGCCGTACGCTATGAAGGCCACCACTCGCTGTGGCGAGAGACAGGGAGAGAGAAAGAGGCAGCGTGGGAGGAGGGATGGAGGTGGTAGGGTTGGGGTGAGTGCTGGCAACAGGTGTGAGGTGGTGCATGGTGCATGGTGCATGGTGGGATCAAAGTTGACGTGATGGTAGCTGTGCAAGATGACAGCCACTACAGCACAAGATGAAGGCACACCACAGCACAAGATGACGGCCACTACAGCACAAGATGACGGCCATTACAACACAAGATGACGGCCACTACAGCACAAGATGACGGCCACTACAGCACAAGATGACGGCCACTACAGCACAAGATGACGGCCACTACAGCACAAGATGACGGCCACTACAGCACTCGCTGCAGCGAGCAAGGGGGAGTTAGAGAGGCAGAGTAGGAGGCAGGAGGGAAGGAGTACAGCTTGGGTGTCGGGGACCAGCTGGGTATGTAGAGGGGAAGAGAGAGGGAGGGACAGAGAGAGGGAGGGACAGAGAGGAGGGGCAGAGAGAGGGAGGGACAGAGAGGGAGGGACAGAGAGAGGGAGGGAGCATACTGAGGGCAGCGGAAAGAAGATGCGGAAAGGAGGAGATGCATTGTGAGCCAATACACAAAGGCACATTCAATTTCAACTGAAAAAAAAAACACAAACTGTAAATAAAATAAAAAAACAAAAAAAGAGGAAGTACATGCAGAATAAAGAAAGGAGGAGGACGTGCCTTATCAAGAGCTGCAGAGAGCCACGCCATGTGCGCACGCTTGCTCACTCCGACACTCACGAAGGCCTCCACCTGGTGGAGGGAGGGAGAATGGAGAATGGGGCACGCAAGGGATACGCATAGGGGATGGCAAGAGAGAGTGGCATGGAGTGAGGTGGAGGAGCGAGAAATGCGCCACGTGTCATTCATCCATCACCCATCCCATCCATCACCCATCCCATCCATCACCCATCCCATCCATCACCCATCCCAACCATCCATCATCCCAACCAACACCCATCCCAACCATCACCCATCCATAACTCTCATGCCTCAATGCATGCACTCCAGCTGCCAGCATCCATCATCCATGACTCATCATCCACCACCCATCATCCATGAATCATGCAGAAATATTAGTCTTGTAGCCGGCCATTGCAGTAATATCAGATCAACTGAAAGTCCAATAGATCCCCACTTGGGAGACATGACTTTGCATGGCGGCAGCTTAGTTTATATAAGAGATCTGTTTGTAGTAGGCCTGCTTAGAAACAACCATTTGCATAGCAATTGGTGGTAACTAGTTTCGGCCTTCTTCAGACCACAAAGGAAACAATGAAAGCAAGCACCCTAAAAATACCGATCCCGAGGTTTCAGCGCAAGGCATTCCTTTGCGGGGCTGGGATGGCAGGGAAAAGCTACAGTAAAAAATGAACAATAATTTCACGGGCACATGCAGCAGCAGCTCTCTAGCAGCGATGGGCATGGCGTTCAGGGTGCGGATGATGACTTGGCCATGGGCATGAAGGGGCATCTAGATGGGCATGTGGATGGGCCACTTGGGGAGCGGAGAGACGTGAGGGGACCTGGCAGTACCTACCCAGTACCCCTGCAAGCAGCAGCACTCACGGGCACATGTGGAAGCATCTGTCTTGCAGCAAGCTGCACGGCATCCATGGCGCGGACTATGGACTTGGCCATGGGCATGAAGATGGGCCACTCGGGCGTGCTGGGGTCATACAGTGCCATGCCCATGGTGACTGGTGGACGAGGTGTGCGGAGGGTGAGGGGCGAGGAGGGGGATTGGGCGAGAGTAGGAAGGTGAAATCCTGGGTCAGCGCTCATATCCCCACATCCACTCATATCTGTTGATTGTGTAGGTGGTTGTGGCATTTTGCTCTAGCTGGTTGTGGGCTAAGGGTTTGGGCAAAATGTGCTTGTTAGACTTGTTGCGGGCTGGAATTGATCTCGCACCCAACAAGCACCAACAAACATTTGTTATTCACTACAACACTTTTGGTGTTGCTAGTTTAACACTTTGGGTTGCTTGGGATTGTTGTAGGGCGAGGGTTGGGTTGGTCAAGTTTGAACAACTTGTCACTTTGCAGATCTGAACTCTTGATAAAGCTACTCTCTTGATCTAATCCATGGTTGTCAAGCAATTTCGCCAGGATACCCCATCGCACTTAAATCGCGATAGCGATCAGCCTAGATCTTGGTTGAAGGCGTGCGTTACCATTCTGGAAAGTAGATATTAAGCCATTTCCAACGCGTACCTGCTCATAGTTTAAGGTTACGTGAGCTGCACGCAATGTTCCGTCGAAGTTGACGGACTTAATCTCTTGTTACGCTCTTTAGATTCGCTCGCTTTCCATTAAAGGTATCAGAGCTGGTTAGGCCTGCGACATTCCCTCTTGTCATCACATTCCTAATTGGCTTAAGAACCTCCACATCTAGTGTTGGTTATGACCCTGAAATTAGATGGACCTCCTAGGTTCACCGGCTCGGATTTTTCGCTATAGGGATTCCAGTTTATGCTTTGGCTATGTATTAAAGACCTAGAGGGCGTTTTGGAGGGATCGGAGCGAAGATCTGAAGCTGATGAAGGAAAGGCATCTGCTGGAGTCTCTAGCGAAGAGGGAGAAGGGGCTGGAGGAGCCTCTAGCTCATCTATAAGTAAGGGAAGTGGAGGAGGATCAGCATCACCGCGAACCGGAAGGCAACGGCTTAGTGTGGAGGAACTACTTAAGGCACAGAAAGCATGGGACCGCAAGTACAAGCAAGCGTTCCAGTACCTGTGTTGGGCTTTGGAAGGCCAATTAGAGCTCCTAAAGATGCTGATTGACCTGAAGGGCAAGCAAGGAGCAGCTGCACTAGCATGGAAGAGAGTTCAATATCGTCATTTGCAAAAAAGGTTGCTAAACATACTCACCTGGAAGTAGCGGTTCTACACCATAGAACGCAACTATGGCGATGGGGAGACCATGGTGCAGTACCTCCAGATAGGGATGAGCAAAATGGCGAACTTGCTTTCCATTTTTTGGTTTAAATGTTCGCCCGAACATGTTCGGGTTCGACCCGAACATGTTCGCACGTTCGTGGCGCGCGCATGTCTAGTGCCCGAACATCGAACATGTTCGGGCATCAAACCCGTTCTCCCGAACATTTTGATGTTCGGGATGATTCCAGTTCGATAAGGTCGCGCTGGTTGGTTACAAAAAGGACGGGAAGAGCAGATCGAGCTGTTTCTCAGCTCAATCTACTTTTCCTAGGGTTGATCTAGCCTAAGCGCCACCCAACGTACCTTCCTATACTAAATCGCCCACACCAACTGTTAGTTAGGCACCAATGGGGTGTTAAGGCCGTTATTTAGGGTTATACTAGCAGGTTTCGGTTTAAGTTATGCTATGCCTTGTTGTCAGTGCTCCTCTTCACGGCTCTGAAACACCCGTTCCATGGTTTAAGGGTGGGTACAAGGGGTGGGACGGTAAAGTAATGAGCATCCATTTCCCATCTCTGATGTTCGGCCCCCTTTAGTAGGTTCGCCCACAGTGGGCGAACCTCGAACATAAGATTTCAGTAAAAAGTGTTTGGGCGAACCGAACAGGTTCGGTTCGCCCACTGAGTGTGTTCGTCACAGTTCAGACGAACATGTGAGTATGTGAGGGCATTGGAGGAGCTGAACTATGAAGTAGATGAGAAGGAGATTCTTTACACCGCACTCCAGGGGCTGGACCAAGAGGCGAACGAGGCCCTACTGCAGTACCTTCACATTGAGCAGCAGAAATGAACCAAGGCCTGGATATGGGAGGTGTTGGTTTATGATGAGGCTCGCAAGCGTGATGCTGGAAGAGGAGTTGAAGGGGGAATGGGAGCAGATGATAGGGCTGCCTCCAAGAAGTACCAGCAGCGGCAAGGAGGTGGGGGGAAGAAGAAGGAGCTCGACAAGTGCCTCGTCCCTGGATGCAACCGGAAGCACTCTTGGAAGGAGTGTTGGAGCCGACCAGATGGGTGGAAGCCTCAAGGGTACCCAGAAGAGGCTCCACCTGTCATTAGGCCTGAGTGGTTGGAGAGGAGGATAAAGAATGGAGCATGGAACAAGAAGGGCAGCAAAGAGAAAGCGGCAGCAGCGGCGACAAACGAGAATAAGAAGGGAAAAGAGGATTCATCGGATGATGGTTTCTTCTTCTTATCCTTGGAGAAGGAGACGGCGCTTGCTGGTCGTGTGTTCGCTGACCCCAATCAGCTCATTCTAGACTCTGGGGCAACCTGTGCAATGGTACCTCGGCGCGACCTCTTCACCACCTATCACTCACTCCCACCTAACTCCAGAAATGTGATTGTGGGGAGCGGAGATACGCTGCAAGCAATCGGCATCGGCACCATCACCGTCAAGGGGAAGGAGGGGGATGTGCTGAATGTGAAGGGTGTGCTTCATGTTCCTGGATTGGCAGCCAACTTTCTCTCATGCTCCCTGCTTGCAAGGCAAGAATACACATGCACCTTCACCATGGAAGGGTGTACGGTACGCAAGGGTGGAGCTGTGATGATGGAGGCAAAGTTAGAGAAGGGTCTATACCTTGTTCCAGTTTGTGTGCCTCAGATGGAGAGGGCAAGTGGTGTTGAAGCCGAGGAAGCTGCTTGTAGTACCCGTTGGAGGGACGTGGAGCAGGTGACAGCAAATTTGCTGCATCTACGCATGGGGCATGCGGGAAGGCAGCAACTTGTGGAGTGTGTGAAGAAGGGGGAGCTGAGAGGTGTGGAGATCAAGGAGGGTGGTGGGCAGCCAAGCAAGTGCCCTAATTGCACGACCGGGAAGCAGCGAAGGACCTCCTTCCCTGCCTCCACCACTAAAGCCTCCGCACCTCTTGAGTTGGTGCACATGGATGCATGTGGCCCCATGCAAACACCGGATAGGGAGAAGGGCAGCAAATACTTCATCACTTTCTTGGATGACTTCAGCCGCCTAGATTGGGTTATCTTGGTGAAAACCAAGGATGAGGTGGTCAAGGTCTTCAAGCGTTGGATACGCTATGCGGAAAGGGAAGCCGGGGCGAAGGTGAAAATACTAAGGTCTGATTGGGGTGGGGAGTACATGGGGAAGGATCTGAAGTCTTTCCTTGAAGACAAGGGCATCACCCACCAGCTTTCAGTTGCATACACGCCACAGCAAAATGGGGCAACGGAGCGGCTAAACCGGACCCACATTGACCTTGCCTGAGCCATGCTTGCTCATGCGTAGCTGGACCATACTTGGTGGGGGGCAGCAGTGCAATATGCCAACTAGGTTAAGAACAGAATGGGCAGCAAGGGGCTAGGGGGCAAGAGTTCTTACTTCATGTGGAACAGTAAGGTGCCTAGTGTGTCCATAGCACGAGTGTGGGGGTGCATGGCGCAGCGGAGGAAGCTAGATCTTAAGGCACAATGGGGCATTTTTCTTGGGGTGTCGGAAAGGAGCAAAGCTTGGATGTTGTGAAGTGTGGCGGATCAGCGGGTGGTGGAAAGCAGGGATGTGGTTTTCCACAAGGCGCTGAGTTACAAGGGGTGGAAGGAGCATGGTGCTAGTACAGTTGGGAGCTCCCTCCCAACAGGGGCAGCAGCCACAGGGGCAGCAGCAGCAACAAGAAAAGCCGCAGCAGTTTCCACAGGAGCATACACCGCCTGTTCCTGTGGTTAGGTGGCAGCAACTATTGCAGCAGCAGCTATCCAAGTCACCACGGTTTCCCTTTAAGTGAGTGACTTGGAAGGAGAAGCTGCAAACTTTGGAGCAGGGGGAGGCATCACCTCTGCGCCGCACCACACGCATCTCCCGGCCACCTGACAGGTTCACACCAAGTGCACAGTATGCTTGCATGCATGATCATGAGGTGCATGATTTGGAGGAGTGCATGCTTGTGGATGCTGAGAGGGGTGAGCTTGGGCTTGATTTCTGTCTCATGTGTCAGGTGCATGAGCCTAAGTCGGTCAAGGAGGCCTTGTCCTGTCCTGAGTGGGTCGAGTCCATGCGTGAGGAGCTTGAGTTTCATAGGGTGAACGAGTCTTTTGAGCTGGTTGATCCAGCTTGTGTGCCACCTGGAATGGAGGTCTTGAGGTGTCAGTGGGTATGGAAGTGTAAGCACATGGCTGATGGGAGTATTGAGAAGCCTAAGTCCAGGTTGGTGGCCATGGAGAACACTCAAACACGAGGCGTTCACTATGACCAGGTATATACCCCGGTGGGTAAACCTACCACCCTGAGAGGTCCCCGTGGCATGGCAGCATCTTCGAGGTTTCACATCCATCATATGGATATGACCACTGCCTATCTCCATGGGGTCTTGAAGGAGGAGCTTTACATGAGGCAGCCCCCTGGTTTTGATGATGGATCCGGCAGGGTTTGCCGACTCAAAAAGTCAATCTATGGGCTAAAGCAAGCTCCAAGGCAGTGGTACCTCAAATTTGATGAGGCGCTGATGGATTTTGGCTTTGAGAGGTCGGGGTGTGACCCCGGCTTGTACCACTTGGTGAGGCGTGAGGGCAGGCTATCCCTCTACCTCTGTGGATGACATTCTGCTCATGTCTTTGAGCATGGTTTTGCTGGACGAGGTGAAGAGTCTCTTGTCCTCTCGTTTCCGCATGAAAGACTTGGGGGAGGCTAAGTACTATGTGGGGGTGCAGATTGAGCGTGATGAGAGTGGCATCTTGATTCATCAGGAGAGGTACATTCTCAACATGCTTGAGTCCTTTGGCCTTTCTGAGGCTAACCCCGTGCGTACCCCTCTCTCTACAGGGTTCGACATGCATGCACATGCTGAGGAGCCCTTGCTGCGAGATGAGTTGGTCTAGCTCTATCAAAGCATTGTGGGGTCTCTTATGTATGCAAGCACGACCACACAGCCCCAGATTGTTTATGCAATGTCACAGCTGTCCAAGGTGGTGTCTTGTTCCAAGGCATTTCACCTGCAGGCTGCTAAGAGAGTGCTAAGGTACCTGAAAGGTTGTGCCAAGTCAGGTATCTTCTACCCCGCACACAGCAAGCCTCAAGTTGAGTTGGTGGGCATTAGTGATGCTGATAATGCTGGAGATTCAGCTAATCGCAAGAGTCACACCGGCTATGTCTATTGCCTTAATGGTGCAGCCATCTCTTGGCAGAGCAAGAGGCAGCCGGTGGTTGCATTGTCCACCACTGAGAGTGAGCACATCAGTCTATGTCAATGCACTCAAGAGGGTGTGTGGCTGAAGCGTTGTTTCGGGAGTTTGGGCATGAGTTTGCTGATGGTGTGCCTGTGTTTGTGGACAACCAGTCTGCCATTGCCCTTGCACCGAATGCATGCTTGCACGGCCGCACCAAGCACATGCACGTTCGGTGGCATTTCATCAGGGAGATGGTGGCAAGCGGCGAGGGGTGTGTGCATGTCCTTGATGGGGATGCAGCCCCATATTGGCTGGTGCTTCTCTGCCTTGACGACACCATGCTGTGGATGGCGACCCTCCTTGGGCAAGAGGGAGCGGAGTGAAGGATTTTGCCCAGTGGTGTTCAACCACCTCCAGCACGAGCAAAAGGGAGTGTTGATTATGTAGATGGTTGTGGTATTTTGCTCTAGCTGGTTGTGGGCTAAGGGTTTGGGCACAATATGCTTGTTAGACTTGTTGCGGGCTGGAATTGATCTCACACCCAACAAGCATCAACAAACATTTGCTATTCACTACAACACCTTTGGTGTTGCTAGTTTAGCACTTTGGGTTGTTGGGAATTGTTGTAGGACGAGGGTTGAGTTGGTAGGGTTTGAACAACTCGTCACTTTGCAGATCTGAACTCTTGCTAAAGCTACTCTCTTGATCTAATCCATGGCTGTCAAGCAATTTCGCCAGGATACCCTGTCGCACTTAAAACGCGATAGCGATCGGCCTAGGTCTTGGTTGAAGGCGTGCGTTACCATTCTGAAAAGTAGAGATTAAGCCCTTTCCGACGCGTACCTGCTCATATTTTAAGATTATGTGAGTTGCACGCAATGTTCCGTCGAAGTCGGCGGACTTAATCTCTTGTTACACTCTCTAGATTCGCTCGCTTTCCATCAATACCCTCACATGCACTCATATCCTCTCACATGCACTCATATCCTCACATGCGCTCATATCCTCACATGCACTCATATCCTCACATGCGCTCATATCCTCACATGCACTCATATCCTCACATGCGCTCATATCCTCACATGCACACATATCCTCACATGCACTCATATCCTCACATGCACTCAAATCTTCACATGCACTCATATCCTCACATGCACTCATATCCTCACATGCACTTATATTCTCAGATGCACTCATATCCTCACATGCACTCATATCCTCACATGCACTCATATCCTCACATGCACTCAAATCCTCACATGCACTCATATCCTCACATGCACTCATATCCTCACATGCACTCATATCCTCACATGCACTCATATCCTCACATGCACTCATAACCTCACATGCACTCATATCCTCACATGCACTCATATCCTCACATGCACTCATATCCTCACATGCACTCATATCCTCACATGCACTCAAATCCTCACATGCACTCAAATCCTCACATGCACTCATATCCTTACATGCACTCATATCCTCACATGCACTCATATCCTCACATGCACTCATATCCTCACATGCACTCATATCCTCGCATGCACTCATATCCTCGCATGCACTCATATCCTCACATGCACTCATATCCTCACATGCACTCATATCCTCACATGCACTCATATCCTCGCATGCACTCATATCCTCACATGCACTCATATCCTCGCATGCACTCATATCCTCACATGCACTCATATCCTCACATGCACTCATATCCTCACATGCACTCATATCCTCACATGCACTCATCTCCTCACATGCATTCATATCCTCACATGCACTCATATCCTCACATGCACTCATCTCCTCACATCACATGCACTCATCTGCTGTTGCTGCTGCTGCTGACCCCAGTGGGAGTACGGCACACTCTCGGGGGGCGGACTCCCCTACAGGCTGTCATCTCTTCCTCTCGCACATTCTACCTTTTGCTGCTGTTGCAGTGCAGCTGACACCCCGGGGGATACGGACACACTAGAGCATGACTCGCTTACAAGCTGCTGTCTCCTACTCGTGCAACTCTTTGCTTGCTCTGCTGCAGCTCATGCCAGCGAGAAGGCACACATGCTACAGGCTGACGCCGTACAGGCTGGGGTCTGCTCCTCTATCAGCTCTTTGCTTCAGCTCTGCTGCTGACGCCAGGGGGAATATGGCCGCGCTATAGGCCGACTTGCTTACAGGCTGTGATCTCCTCCTCCTGAAGCTCTTCACTCATGCTGCGGGTGACGCCAGGCGGGGCGACGTGGAAGGTGATGGGCATCATAGGCTGCTGGTGCACCATCACTCCCATCATGCCCAGATCCACCAGCAGCCTGCATGTGAAGTGAGCAAGGGAGGATGCATGCACGGGCACCAGGTGATTGATGGGCAAGGCCTGCGGTTGAGAATTCTCAAAAGAGACACCAATGTAGCATGACGGCATTGGGAGAGGGCGGGGAAGAAGGGAAGATGCAACGGGCACAAGGCTCATGGCCCTCCCGCTCACACCCCACCCGCTCACGCCCCTTCCGCTCACGCCCCTCCCACTCACGCTCCTCCCACTCACGCTCCTCCCACTAGCGCCCCTCCCACTCACGCTCCTTCCACTCACACTCCTCCCACTCACGCTCCTCCCACTCACGCCCCTCCCACTCCCGCCCGTCCCTGCCACTCACGGGGCAGCGACGTGGATGTAGACGTCGGTCGTATCGGGGATGGTGTAGCGCCGGTCGTCCCGGCCGTGGTCGTTCCACCCCGCCCCAACGAACAACAACACGAGCCCCTTGCTGGCGCTTGACAAGTTGTCCGGCACCTGGGCGGGCGGGAGGAGCAAGCACAGCCACAAGGCATGCATTAAAGGCTTCAGGCCTGGACGCCTCACCCCCCCGCAGCACATTAGATGGCACGCGGACCAAAGTGAGGAAGGGCATGCGGAACACTGCTGGCGTTAGGCGTGCCATCTGGAGCATGGGAGGTCGAGACGAAGGACAGCCTGCAGCCATTGAAGGTCAGTGCATTGAAGGTCACTGCATTGAAGGTCAGTGCATTTGAAGGTCACTGCATTGAAGGTCAGTGCATTTGAAGGTCACTGCATTGAAGGTCAGTGCATTGAAGGTCACTGCATTGAAGGTCAGTGCATTGAAGGTCAGTGAATTGAAGGTCAATGCATTGAAGGTCAATGAATTGAAGGTCAATGCGATGAAGGTCAATGAATTGAAGGTCAATGCATTGAAGGTGAATGCCTTGAAGGTCAATGCATTGAAGGTCAACGCATTGAAGGTCAATGCATTGAAGGTCAACGCATTGAAGGTCAATGCATTGAAGGTCAACGCATTGAATGTCAATGCATTGAAGGTCAATGCATTGAAGGTCAATGCATTGAAGGTCAATGCATTGAAGGTCAACGCGTTGAGGGTGAGGCTACAGGCATTGCCACTGCTCCGCATATACACCCATTTGGCTCCCCATCCCATGGCACAGTACCCCATGGCCCTGCACAAAACGGCACCCATACCACACTGCAGTGATCAAGTGTATGTGACCACAAGACCACAGGCACCGATGCTTACCAGTGTTGCTTTCCAAACGTACTTCAATCTAGCTCATGCACCGCCTGTACTGCTTGTTCCCACCATATCGGAGTCTGAACTCACAATAAGCGTCACGTGATGCCACCAGTAAAATCGGTTAGTAACGGATTGGTTGAGCCAGCGTTGGGTTCTCACCAGCAGCACATACCCCGTCCACCACCCCCCAGGCTCCTTGGCTCGCATGCGATTGCCCGTGTCCTTCCACCTGCCAGGCCAGCAGCAGGGCGGGATGGGTTGCTGGGAGTGAGAGCACTGTGCAGCCACCCTCCAGGCTCCTTGGCTCTCATGCGATTGCCCGTGTCCTTCCACCTGCCAGGCCAGCAGCAGGGCAGGGCAGAGAGAGCAACGACCGCCATAGGTCGGATGGGTTGATAAGAGAGAGTGACAGTGGCGTTGAGGCATTGATATTGGTAGCTGAAGGGAGGTGGAGGAGGGCACTACATAAGGACACATATCTCTACGACACATACCTCTACGACACATATCTCTACGACACATATCTCTAGGATACATAACGCAGATAATGCAGAGCTAGAAAACGGAGATAGAAGGCTCAAGGCAGGTTTGGGATCAGTGGTCACTCACACACCCCATCCTCCGCTCCACCCTCCAGGCCCCTTCGCCTGCATGCGATTACCTGGTTACCCACGAGTCCTCCCACTCGGGTAAATGAATGCTCGTGACTGAGCGAGAACATGCAGGAGTGGTGCACGGCTCAACCACGAGGTGATTTAAATGTTCAGGCCGTCAGCTTGTGCTTATAACGAGCGTGCACGATGAAGCAAGAGACTTCAGTCTGCAAGGGGTCACTGAGCAGCGCAGGACCCTCTGGAGAACTATGGGTTGTGATTTCGACTCACGCATGGCACAGGGGGGAGTGCATGGCTAGTTTAAGGCCGTCTTTCGCTTCTGCAAAGTAGAATGGTTTTTGCTGTATGCAACCGTTGAAAACTCACCCGAATTCCGCATCCGCGGTATAAACATATCTGTCCAGCAGTGTGCCGTGACAGTTCCTCGCCGTCTCGCAGCCGCTTTGCGGGAAAGGGGGCGATTCAGAGGACTGTGCGGTTTCCGAGGAGAGCAGGCTGGGTCGCAGCTCGAAGATCGCCAAGTAAGCGACGGTCAGCGCGACGGCGACAGGCAGAATGCGACGAGTGAGAGCCGCTTGGAGGCGCCTGGCGACGACGCCAGGGCCCGACGCGTGCGTACGCGACATAATGAGCTGCTCGTTAAGGGATACTGATTGCTTCAAGAGAACTCCTGCAGTCAGTCGGCTCACTACTAGAATCTCAATACGTCAATCTTGCTAAACACCAGAGTGCATTGTTCATCGTCGATCTCAACCGACTCCACTGGAGGCGACGACGATAAACCACAGCAGATAGTTTTCGGGTTGTGGGTTCAGTATAAAAGTTTCATCCTGGTGCGCACCGGTCTACAGTGGTGAAAACTTAAACCGCGTCTGAGCATGATTGACCGTATTGACCGGGTCAACGGAAAAGTATGACCGTCCTAAATAGTTTCTAGCTGGAATATCGAACCAGGTACTGCAACGGCTCACCTGTGGAAACACATCGTACATAAGTTGGTTCGATTGAGGGATAACAAACAAGCAGGGGCTGCTCGACAACAGGGCTATGACTTTGGTTTGGAGCACCAGATCAAGAAAGAGTGACTTTCGTGCGCCACCTGGCCCCATCGACTGGCACTCGCCATTTGCAGGGTACGGCCGGGTAAATACGGCTGCGAACTACGCTAAGGGCGTGTAAACTAGCGTTCAAAAAGGTTCGAATTTATGTGGTAACTCGTCTTCGTGCACCTCGCAAATCACATTCGCGAGGAGTTTTTGAAAAAGTTAACACTTTCGACTTTGACGTGTTCGAATTCTGAATTCCCAGCCACATTCGAACAGCACTCCCGATCGCGGTTCGGGCTCCAAACTTGTGCGACGTTGCGACGCTCACGACATGCCGAAGTGTGAGGTTTGACTTAATCAGACGTTGTGCGACGATGACGAGTGTACAAAAATTACGCCCGCGACGACTTGTCCGAACCTTGAAGTGTTACTTTTGAGTGCCTGAGCAATTTTTACGAAACTTCGAGCCAAAAGCCACGAGTTCGAATAACAACAATGATGGCAGTTCGTTAAAAAAAAGTTCGATTTTTTACAAAATCGAGCACTAGTGTACACGCCCTCAACCGAGTTAAAAAATGCTGTACTCTTTAGTGACTTAGCCATTACCTATTTTGGTCTCACCACATTTCACCACCTGAAACATTCAATGACAATGTTCTACCTCTCCGCCATGGATACTATCAGGAACTTAACTAGTGTTACGAGTGCAATTGAGTGAACGAACGAGAATTGCACTATCGAAGCAAGAGTACAATGAGCGAAGGCATGAGCGAAGAATATATAGCGAAACTACAGTGGTAACGGTAATGGACTGTGGTTGTCGCGCGACGGGCCTGGGACTGAGGTTGGGAAAAAGTGTCGAAGCGGAGGCCCGGAGCGCGGGTTACCCGCCGAGCCGTGAGGTCGGGGTGCGATGTGCGAAAGTGGCGGGCAGATTGTCGATGCGAGGGTTGCGAGTGGTAACGGTGCTGACTGTGGTGCTACAGTGATGTACGCGTTGAGCAGGGATGCGAAGTAAGGAAAAGGAATTTTCCTTACACTACCCCCCCCCTTAAGGAGGTCCTCCTTACGAGAGTGCGTGTACATCCCTGAAATTTCGGCTGCGCAGATACTCGGTGAGGACAGGGTGGTTTTCGATTCTGTCCAGGGGAACCCAATTGTCTTCGGTGGGTGTACGGTCCTTCCAGCGGAGTAAGAACTCGATCCTTCGGGCTCCTCGAGGGTCGCGAACTCTGTGACTCAGGATTTTTTCGGGGGTGATGATTGGTTCAGTTGGTGGTCTTGTCATGCTGGTTGGGCGATTGCGTGGCAGTTGGCTCGTGGACGGGACGTAAGGGCGAAGTAGGCTAACGTGGAATGAGGGGCTGACGTACCAGTCAGCAGGGAGGAGGAGGTGGGCGGTGACGGGTGTAAGCATGTGGCTTATGCGAAATGGCCCGCAGTATCGGGGGCGGAGTTTCGGAGTGATGGGCAGTCGGAGGTTCTGAGTGTCAAGTAAAACTAAGTCGTCGGGCTGGTAAGTGACAGGTCTGCGGTGGCGGTCGGCGTTGCGTTTAGCGATGATGTTCGATTTTTTTATTGCGTCTACTGCCCGGGTCCGTGCTGCTTGTAATATTTCGGCGAACTGTTGTACTCGTGGTACTGGGTTGTCGGGATTCGGTGTCATGGGTACTGTTGGGTCTTGTCCGTAGTTTAGGTAAAATGGTGACTGTTGGGTCGTGGCGGATGGCGAGTTGTTGTACGCGAATTCGATCAGTGGCAGTTGCTATTCCCACGTGGTCGGGTCGTCACACGTGGCCCTGATGAGCTGTTCCATGGTCTGATTTGTCCGTTCTGTCTGTCCGTCGGTTTCGGGGTGGTATGATGAACTGAACTGCAGTCGCGTGCCGAACTGCTGCCACAGGTTCCGCCAGAAGTTGCTGGTGAATTTTGTGTCGCGGTCGCTGATGATCGCGGCGGGTATCCCGTGCAGTCGAACGACGGTGGAGATGAAGAGGCGTGCTGTTTCTTCGGCTGTGATCGATTTTTTGCAGGCTGCGAAATGTGCCATTTTCGTTAGTCGATCGACGACGACCAGGATCGCGTCGTTCCCACTCGCCCCGGCTGGTAACCCCGTGACGAAGTCCATCGTCACCTGCTGCCAAGCACGCTCTGGGGGTGGTATCGGCTGCAACTGTCCCGCCGGCCGCTGTCGTGATGATTTCATGAGCTGACAAGTGGGACACGATGCCACGTGTCGTTGTACGTCGGTCAACATTTCGGGCCAGTAATAATACCGCTGCAGCTGCTGCCGTGTTTTTTCTACTCCGAAATGCCCCGAAGTAACTCCGTCGTGTGCCTCCTGTAACAGTAATTCCCGTAGCAGTGTATACCCAGGTACCCAAATGTGGTCAGTCCCGGTTTTTACGTAATAGACTCCCTTTGCTGCTGCGAACTGCTGCGAATTTCCTCCTGTGAAGAATGGATCCGTCTGGTACCCGTGGGTGAATAGGCCTGTCAGTAGCGGGCTTGTCTGGGCGAGTAGTATTGCGTGGATCTGGGCAGTGGGGCGGGTCAGTGCGTCGGCGATGTTCGAGGCTCCCTTTTTGTAAGTGACCGTATAGTGAAAGTTGGACTCGAGGAAATCGAGCCAGCGAATCTGTCGTGGGTTGAGGTGTGGCTGTGCGCGAAGGTACTGTAGTGATTTATGGTCTGTCCGTACTGTCACGTCCGCGCCAGTCAAGTAACAGTGCCATACTTTGAATGCGTGCACGATCGCAAGCATTTCGCGGTCGTGTATCGGGTAATTTTTCTCGGGCGGATGCAGTTTTCGTGACTCGTAGGTGATAGGCTGTAGGCCATTGCCGAAATCTTGTAGCAGTACGGCTCCGATGGCGATATCGCTTGCGTTGGTAACTACTTCGAATGGGCGGTGTGGGTCGGCGATGCGCAGGACGGGCGGGGAACAGAGAACATTTTTCAGGGCAGAGAAGGCAGCATGCTCTTTCTCCCCCCACGTAAAAGCGACCCCCTTCCGCAGTAAGTCCGTCAGTGGGGCAGTTAACCGTGCCATATCGGGGACGAACCGACGTACATAATTAACGAACCCTAAAAAGCTCTGCAGCTCCGTGATGTTCGTCGGGGGATGCCACGCTTTTGCCGTATCCAGCTTCTTTGGGTCGATTTCAACTCCAGCCTCTGAAATAACGTGCCCCAAAAATTCTAACCTATCCTGGAAGAACTCGCACTTGGAACCCTTGGTCAGTAATCTGTGCTCGTCTAAAACCTTAAATACTGCTTCCAGATCTGCTAAGTGCTGCTGCTTATCCCGACTGTACACTAGGATGTCGTCGAGGTAAACTATTACACATTTATCTAAGAGCGGCCTAAATGCCTCGTTCATGGTCATCTGAAAAGTCGCCGATGCGTTGGTCAGCCCGAATGGCATCACAGTGTACTCGAACGACCCGTACCTAGTCCTGAAAGCTGTTTTGGCGCAGTCCGATGGTTCGACCCTAATCTGATGGTAACCTCCCCGTAAATCTATTTTCGAAAAAACCCGTGCTGTTCGCAGTTGGTCGATCAGTTCG